ACCTCTCCATCCCCCATCATCCAAACGCCTCCCGTCAGCCTCTCGCTGCTGGGTGGCTAGTCCCGGGGCCCCGCCAAACAGCTGTGGATGGTGAGTGTTGAGGACCCCCTATTTTTTTTCCATGGGTGCTTGAGCTGTGGAGCACCCATGGAGTCGGCGCCTGTGGCTGGAGCCCGGGCTCTGAAACTCGAGCGGGAACGTCTGCACTGCTATTTCTAGCCCCGTCGGACGAGCCCTGCAAACCCAAGTCAGTTGACTCAGGCTCTGAGGCATTGCCATGTTTGGGTTTTTTTGCAGATACACAGGCCCCAAGGTCACCCACAAACCACATGCATGTGGCATGAGAGAGGAAATTTGTAACTGTCAACTCCCAAAACCCAAGAGTCGGTGAACTAAAAGCGTAACTCTTAACTAGGCTGGTAGAGAGATCTAGTACACTCACGAGCAGGGCAGGGGTGTAGAGTTGGGAAAGGGGTAGGACCAAGTCTGTCCACTAGAGAGCAGCGTTGCAGGGGCATGCAGACCAGTTTGTTGTAGGCTCTGCGCAGATTCAGGCAGCCTCCAACAGACAGGTTGATCCAGGCCTGGATGTTTCGAGGGACACTCACAGAGAGGCCCCCAAAAGTTGGTTGCTTGCCTTCCCACCTCCGGGTTCAAAAATGCAAGAGGGCATGGGGCCCCTTGCTTCAAACTGGGGCCTTGCATTTCTTAAAGATGGATTTTTACCCCCACCGGAAATTCACGCATGGATTTGAGAGCCTGCGATCTGTGACCCGCCCCTGGCTGAGCATCTCCTTAGGAGCTGGTGGCATGTCAGATGGTGTTAGGGTGTTAAACGCCTCGCTCCGTCCCAGCGTGAGAGCAGCTGTTCCGCTGCTTTAAAATTTGAATCGTGCTGCTCAGTGGCTGTTTGAGGTTATCGGAGCCAGATGCTTGTGTGAGTCTTTGACCACCGGCATGTGAGAAGGGATTTAATTCATTAAAGGTTTCAAACAGCCTCCCAGCACTGCATTTAATTGTCGATCAAGTACCAAGCTGTGTTCTCAGCCGATGAGCAGATGGATACATTTTCCTGGCTGATCATTTAGTTTTGGTCACCCAGTGCTGCTCAGTTTGCTTTCTCATGGTTTATTAATAATACTTATTCATTCTTTCTGGTAGCAGCCACAATGCAGGAAGGCCCAGATCTTAAACGAGATTTACGTGGCTAGCTTCCAGGCACCTGGGCAAGTCACAACCTCCCTGCCTCAGTGTCCCCATTTCTAGAACTACAGTGTATTTGAGGATCTGGGCCTAAACGCTTTTTAACGGACAAGGAAGCCAAGTCCTTGCCTTGAGGAGCTTTCAAGCTAAACACAGTAAAACTGAGCAAGGAGAGGGGTGCACCATATATACCCTCGTTCTAAAAAATAGGGAAACTGAGGCAGGGAGTGACTTGCCCAGGTGCCTGAGAAAATCAGAAGCAGCGCTGGGATTCTGTTCTGTTCTCATACTGTGCCCATCACCTTGGTATCTGGGCACTTGGATTAGAACTCAGGAGCTCCCCGCTGCCCAGTCTATCTCTTGCCACAGCCCTCAGTTTATCACTTTCCCCATTTGTGCGACTTTCCTTTCCTCTTTTGTGTGTACCTGTGTAACAAAGTGGAGATGACGCTCGAGAACCTGTTTGATTACCCCTGTGCCCTGCATCTTACACCCTACGCTGGCTGAACTTCTCATGTTTAAAGGTTGCTGTGCATATTGGGAGGTCTCTGAAGCTGGACTGATGACTAGGGGAACTGAAACTTAGCCAAATGTGCTGTGGGTGCTGTTTTAGTTTGTGGCTTCCTTCTGCATCTGACCCTGTTAGTCTCTAAGGTGCCACAAGGACTCCACGTTGTTTTTGCTGCTACAGACTAACATGGCTACCGCTCTGAAACCTATCACCCTGGATGAATATTCATTTTGTATTTGGCTGTGGCAGTGTGGTCTAGTGAGTAGTGGGAGTCAGGAGAGAGCAGGGTTTTATTCTGAGGTAAATCAATCAGGACCCCATTGTGTTAGGTGCTGTACATACACATAGTAAGAGAGAGTCCGTGCCTCAGAGTTTACAGTCTAAATAAACAAGACAGACAAAGAATGGGAGAGGAAACTGGCATCAAGAGGTTCAATGACTGCTCTGGGTCACACAAAAACACAGCCAGGAACACCCATCCAGGTCTCCTGACTCCCAGTGCCGCCGCTGAGCTGCTGTGTGACTTTGGACAACTCTCGGAACTCCACCCGTGCTTCAGTTTCCCCATCTGTGCAATGGAGCTGACGGGACTGGCCCAGAGCTTTGGCATTCTGCGTCTGAAAAACCCTAACCCTTGCACCAGTAACGCCTGTCCTTTTGAGGCACAGAGGAACCTGTTCTTGGAAAACTATTAGGAGAAGCCTTGCGTTTCTTTAGTGTTGTATGCATATAACTATATCGGACAGGGGCATGATTATTTTAACCGAGATAGTTATTCCAGTACAACCCCTAGTGTGGACACCGTTATACCGCTATAAAGGTGCTTCTGCTAGCGTGGCTTATTCCCCTTTCCGAACAGGCAGGGCTATACCAGTGTAAACCACTTTTCTCCCAGTATAATTCCCTCTTTAACTTGCTAATGGAGACAGGCTGTAAGTTACAGCTCTGCATATGGACACCTATTTTGGCTTAGCCGTGGCTTGAGCATTGGCTTAGGTGGTAAATTTACAGGCACAAACTAGAACAATTAAACCAGTTTTAAACCGATCTGGATTTTCCCTGATTGAATTAAACCAGTTTAAACTAAACTGGTGTCTCCTCTCAGTGTAGACAAGACCATGTGCCTAGAGGAAGGAGCACAGTGCAGCTGGCGCTGAAATTGGCAGCCAAGTCAATGTTGGAGCTTATATTCGTGCCTGACCCAGCAGATACAGGAACAGGGTTTCCCCTTCCTTCCTTCGTCTACACTACTGAGGCCTTTCTCCTGCAGCTCCCTGGCAAAGGAATCTGGGACCCTGGCTGGTGAATGGAGCACTGTGGGGAGGGGGAGGGAGCCATCGCTCTCCAACATCCTGCCTCCCCGGGCAATTGTGAGATGCGGCTGCTGGGACAGGAAGGCCCCGCTCACAATGGGGGCAGCGCAGCAGGAAAGGCAGCCGGGGCTCCGGCCGGGACGGCCACCTGTCGGCATTCCACATCTGCTTCCGTCCATCCTGACGCTGGGGTGAGGACGCTGCTCGCTGAGGGGCTGGGAAACTGGACGGAGCTGGTGCTATGAATGCCTGGGAGACTGCAGGACAGGCTGATTGGCTCAGGCACTGGGTTGGGAGTCAGTTCAATTCCTGGCTTTACCATGGGCCTGCTGGGTGACCTCAGACAAGTCACGTCCCTGCCTCGTGCCTCAGTTTCCCCTCCTGTCTGTTGGCTATATAGATTGTAAGCTCTCTGGAGGCAGGGATACTCTCTCTTACTATATGTCTGTACGGTGCCTGGTAAAATGGGGCCTCTAGATGCTATTGCAGTGTTAGTTCTAATTCACGAAATTCCCTGCAATCCAGTTAGCAATGGGCCCAAAACCGGGGGTGCGAGTGTCCCCGGTCTTTGCAGGAGGGAGGATGATGTTCTCCTGAAGTTTAGGTTCTCAGGGTTGATTTGAGGGGCTCTGTGGCTTTTTGGTGCCTCTAGTGGACTGATTTCCATGAAATGAAACAACCATTGGAACATGGAACCCGGCTAAGCCACTCAACAAAAAATGGGTGGTTTCTCCCAACCCCTCAGCAAGGAACTAATAGCAAATGCTGTAGTAAGGTCTCACCAGCAGAAGGAATGCTCGGGGTGATCGAACCCTCTGAGTACCAGAAGCCACGAGTGGATCACTCCATAATTGCCCTTTCTGTACACTCCCCGTGAAGCGCTGGTAGAGGCCGCTGTCAGCGACAGGCTACTGGGCTAGATGGACCATGGTCTGACGCAGTAGGACACTTCTTCTGTACGGAGGGGCAGGACTGTGCAGGGGCCAGTCTCCTGGTTGGCCACAGACTTCTTGGGCAACTCACTTAGACACGCTGTGCCTCAGTTTTCCATCCATAAAATGGGGATCATGCACTTACTTACTGCACCGGCGTGTGGCAAGAGGGTAAATGCATTACAGATCATGAGATGCTCCGATACTATGGTAACAGGGGCCACATAAGTACCTTAGATCGGACAAATCCCTATGTGGACTGGCTACATTGTATTTAGCACCGGTAGGAACCAGCTGCGGTTTCAAGCAAGGGAAAGCTTGTTTGGGACAAACAGCAGCTCTGTCCGTCCGCACTCTGGGTTGCATTGGTTCTGCGTTGCCGGTGGCTGTAACTAGGCCAAAGGTTGAAGGGTTATTGATCTACTCCAGCGCACGTCCTGGCATGCCCGGAAGTATCACCAGTGATTAAACAACAGCTGAGAAAGAACTGATTCGTGATTCAGCATCTTTGTTTTGCAATGGGTCTCCTGGTCACTAGGACAACTTAGCGAAAGGCTGGGGTTTCTGATCAGTTCCCCGTTTGCTCCATGATTCAACCCCTGGGTGGCATCACAGAGCTCCCATGTGCAATTGGCAGGGCTGACGTTGCTCAGCAGGGATGAGTTCTGGGCCTCCCAGAGAAATATTTAAGCAAATTCTTATCAAGAAAATAATACTTGTATAGTGCTTTTCACCTGCCAGTCTACAGATCTGTGACGGCGTGTGTTAGCCCTTTGCAGTTCCCTGCTGGGAGCCCCGAGGTCCTACTACATGATTCCCCAAGAAGTGAGCTGAGAAGAAAAAAGCAGCAAAGGTGGGTCCTCCAGGCTTGCCTAGAGAGGACTCTCTGAAGCAGTCACTTTGGAAAACCACAGAGACCTGGTCCTTCCAGGGCTAGAGGGGCTGGCAACAGCCAATTAGGGCCCTGCTGACTCAGATAAAAGGAGCTGCCTGGTGGTTAGTGGAGCAGTGCCTGGCTAGGACTGGAGGAGAGAAGGAGGGAGTCTCTCTCTGGGCACAGGAGCCTGACAATACACCGAGTTCATGGCTGGCTGAACCTGCACAACAGGGATTGCAGAGAGAGTAACCTGGGGATACCGGCCCTGAGCTAAGGCTGGAGATAAAGGGCCTGGTTGGAAGAAGCCCAAGGAAGCAGCAGTGACGGATTGGAGAGGGCAGTATGTGGCTACTGTGCATAGGGTCCCTGGACTGGAACCCAGAGCAGTGAGTGAGCCAGGTTCTGCCACCAGCCACTGGTGTAAACCCCACAAAGGGGATGGGGCTTATCTGGGACTCTGAACAACTGGCCAAATTTAAAGGGCCCAGAGCTGCAGCGGAAGACCCCAGCGAGGGCAAATAGACTGTTTATTTACTAGACTCTTGAATACCCTGGAAGGGTCATTCAGACTTCGTGATTCGGCTGGAGGGTCAAGCCACGGAAGGCCTTGAGGTTGGCCAGCAGGGTGCAGGCGGCACCAGGGGTGAGAAAAGGAAGGCAGTACTGCACCCTGCCACTTGGAGGCGCTCAAGAGGTGAGTGCCCCTATCCAGGATAGCAGATCAGTGGTGCCTCACAAAGCACCCTGGTCAGATAGAGAAGAATTAAACGAAGGCAGGCAGAGTGACGTCCCCAAAAGCAGCAGCAAATCGGGAATAGAAAGCAAGAGACTGACCCCAAGTCCCCTTCCCTGTAGGCCTGTGGTTTAGACGTCCAGAGGCTTGGATTTATTTCAGCTGTATCCTTGGTGGGGTTTGTAGGCGCCTGCTATAATGGAATAGACTGCAGCTGCTGCTTGTTTAAATCCCCCTGCGGATTTGATGCTTTGGGAAGGAGTTTGTTTTGTAATGTGAAAATTAAAAGCAAAAATGTGCTCTTCTAGTCCACTGTTACTCCAGGATGCATTCAGTGAAGAGGTGGGCGAGATCGGGGCAGTGTGTCTAATGGTGTGAGGCGGCTGGCTGAGAAGCAGCCACTGCAGCATATACTGATACTCGGAGGCCAGACTCTTCCTCCCTGAGCCCTCCTAGAATGGCCCGAGACTTGGCCATCTTCCTACTGTTTATATGGAGCTGTCCTGAGCACATGGGCACGGCTGGAACATCAGCAGCCCCACTGTGTGTGTTCGCTCTCTGTAAATAAGGTTGGGTGCTCAAAATCAGAGACTACTATGGGGTCGGGGGGGGAGGGATTTGGTCCTGCACTTTTAACTGCAGGTTTCCTTCCCTCAGAGTCTGTCGAAGTCAATGCAATCGATTTCTAGGCCTTTGGGTGAAACCATCGCTGAGAGCTATGAATAATACTTCGTACTTGTATAGCAGCGTCCACTGCAAGCGCTCCTAACGCCCCTGTGAGGTAGAAAAGGATGATCGTCTCCATTCTGCAACCGGGGAAACTGAGGCACAGCGGGGAAAGTGACTTGCCCAAGGTCATGCAAGGAGTCTGTGTCAGAGCCAGGAATTAAAGTCCCATTTCAGTGCCTTAACCACAAAAACCAAAGCGGCGATTAAACTGCAAGGCTGCAATCCCTGGCCTCATTGCTGTGGAGGGCAAAACTCCTCTAAATTCAGTGGGGCCAAGATTTCACCCTCAGGTCCCTGGGCTCTGAGCTTTTGCTTTACCCTCCCCATCCAAGATGCTGATACTAAACCGGCCACTCTTGAGGGAGATCGAGAAGTGACCTGGCTTCTTTGTAGGTTTGTGGCTCTACCGTCTCTTTGCTTTGAAGGGAAACGTTCTGCTTCTACTTTTTCTGAAGGTCTGTTTTCTTCCAAATTCCTGTAAGGATTTACAAGGCCTGCGCAGCTTGGCAGCAGTGCTGACAGTGGGTCACTAAGCAAAACCACGGCAAACAGCTCGTGTAGGTGCTGACTGCATTCGGGGTAGACTGGAACGTAATGACCGGGCATGTACAGCGCTGCCTTCCTAGCGGATTAACTAAAGGACTTGAGCACTAGGAAATCCGCTTGTTCCGGTGCACCAGTTCACGTATATCTTTCACAGAGACGCTGTAAGAAAACACATCCCAGATGCTTAATAGCATCATTGATCTTAATTGGGTTTTAGTAAGTCAATAAATATCCAAAAAGGAAATCCACCTCCATTTGCCTAATGATTGAAGAGATCCGTTTGTATGATAACAAGAAAGTGATACAGTGGAATAAGTTTGTATGATGAAATATGTCCTCGGAGCTGGTTACTGGAGAAGAGAGAGAGTCATTTCCCATTGCGTATAAATGAGTTGGAAAGAGCCGTAGAATATAAATTAGATGTAAATATAGATGTACAAATAACACCTTAATGATTGGAGGAACAGGGATTTAATTCTATTCTATTGTCAGAAGCTGGGAATGGGCGACAGGAGATGGATCACGTGTTGATGACCTGTTCTGTTCATTCCCTCTGGGGCACCTGGCACAGGCCACTGTCGGAAGACAGGATACTGGGCTAGATGGACCTTTGGACCTACTGGGTCAGACCAGTCTTATGTTCTTATGGATCACAGCCTTTCACTTTTTGTGTGCTATGCTTTACGGCAGAGGCTCCGAAACTTTCTTGCCGAGCCCCCCATTCGGCACTTCAAGACTCATGCTGAAAACAGGAGTGTAGCCACAGCGGGGCGAGCGGTGGAAGGGGCTGGCAGCGCCGAGTACAAGCCAATCTGAGACCACAAGGACGTACTCCGGGCAATGAGGCTGTTTGCATTGCTGCAGCTATACTTCTGTATTTTTTAGCACGCTAGCTCGATCAGACCTAGCGTGGGCATGACTCCTCGAGCTGGGATTTACCCCTCCAGCTCAACGTGTAGACAGACCTACTCATGGACTTGAGGAAGGAAAGCCTTCCCACCATAAGGGACACTCCAAGTCGAACACCCCTGTTATCCCAGCCCTTCACTCCACCCAGGGAAAAAACCCTACCACAAACAGAGTCTTTACTTGGCCTGGGAGAAGTGCCAGAGGCTCCAGGAAGCCCACGAGGGACTTTGTTGTTGCTATTGATTTTACATGGAAGATGCTCAAATGCCATGGTGACGTGTGCGACAGGATAAAACTCTAAGGGCACGTCTTCACTACCCGCCGGATTGGCGGGTAGCAATCGATCTATTGGGGATCAACTTATCGCATCTAGTGAAGACGCGATAAATCGATCCCCGATGGCTCTGCCGTCGACTCCGGAAATCCACCGCGGCAAGAGGCGGAAGCGGAGTCGACGGCAGCGCGGCAGTGGTCGACTCGCCGCCGTCCTCACAGCCAGGTAAGTCGACCTAAAATACGCAACTTCAGCTATGCTATTCAAGTAGCTGAAGTTGCGTATCTTAGGTCAACCCTCCCCCCGGTAGTGTAGACCTAGCCTAAGACATAAAATAGGTCCGTGGGTGACATTTTCTGGGCTGTGTCCTACAAGAAGTCAGGCTAGAGCAGTAGTTTTCAACCTGTGGTCCACAGCCTATGCCTAAGATTTCCAAAGGGGTCTGCACCTCTACTTGAAATTTTCCAGGAGTCCGCAAATGAAAAAAGGTGGAAAACCGCTGGACTAGCTGATCTTCATGATCCCTTCTGGCCTTAAACTCTGAGTATATGACTTTAGTGGAGAGATGCTAATTTAGCCAAGGTGAGGCTCTGGCCCAAGGTGATATGCAATGGTGACTGAGCTCCACATAGGGATGCATGTTCTATAGCATGAGGGACTTTGTCCTATTTTAAGTGCAAATCTCAATGTGACCTTAATTACGGAGTCACTACTAATGCCCGAATGTTATGTGTGTATCAATTATATTTATGGCACTGATCTAGTGAAAGTATTAACTTTAAGCATGTGACTAGCTCTGTTGAAGTCAATAGGAATCCAGTAAGTTGCATGCTTCAAGTTAAGTGCTTGCTTCAGCACTTTGCTGGATTGGGGGGGGGCCCCCAGGAAGTCTATTTTAGAAGTAGATGTAACCTAAATGTCCAGAAAACTTGCAGTCATGGAAAGCTTATCGGTATCAGCAGGGTGCGCCTTGAAAATGTGACAGCCATGCAGGAAAGTACAAGATAACGCTCATTCTTTATCCGGCACTAGTTCCAGGCTCAGTAACTGGGTGGACACTTTGGGTTACAAACCACCAGCCTCCCTCTCCGGCCATTCTGTGCTGCTAGGCAGGAAGCCGCGATGCTGCTGGAGTGTTTTGGAGCTGTAGCCAACAAGAGGGCCTGCTACCAGTCCCAGATGCCCCCGCTTCCCCCCCCAGCACTGCCATAGAGTGGCACTGAATACTGCCTCAGAGGGCTTGAACCCCGTTTCCAAGGCAGTCACCTCACTGTTTACCCCTTTCTCCAGATCATTTATGAATAAGTTGAATAGGATCGGTCCCTCCCCCTCCCCTGTCCAAGCATCGCTAAATGGCTCAGTGTTGATTTCCTTTTTGGTCACACGGGAAGTTCCCCCCCAGGAGTTTCCCAGCTCATAAAAGTGCTCCTCGTGACCTGCCCCTGCAGCCAGCCTGGTCATTCCCCCAGGGCTTTGAAGCGAGTACGGCTAGCCGGCCAGGCACGCCGCTCTATTATTTAGCGGAAATGGAGTTTGTCTTCTGTTTCTTTAAAGCCCCTTTGGCCCAAATCCCATGTACAATTGTGTCCCAAGGGAAGTACCGTTAGAGTGTAACAATGTGATAGAAAAGGAGAGACTCCCCTACCCATACAGCCGTAACACAATGCAAACTAGTCACACACAGTCTACCTCCTCCTGCCACGTTGCTGGATTGCATCGGCCGCCATCTGCACCTTGCTTTAAAATAACAAAGCTGTGTCAGGTCGGTCACTGGCTTTGGCAGCTGGTTCTGCACCTTTGCATCAGTAGAAGAGGGTACTCCCGGATGGGATGGCCAGGGGGTTAGCTGGAGGTCACCCTGAACACTACCTGAATTGTGGGACTACTTGCCATTTAATCAGCTGCCCCTAGGTGCCTTCCTGAATTTACTACCACGGAAGCAGAGGGTCTGTGTTTCTCCTGGACTCGGACTATGAACTGAAATCTGTGCGTCGTTTTCAAAGGGCTCGCCAAACATCACCGAGCAGCTAAAATACATTTTGCATCGTCCTACAGTTCCCAGCGTTAATACTATTAAGCACATGAGATCGAAGCTCCATTGTGCCAGGCGCTGCACGTCCACCAAGTGAGAGACAGTCCTTACCCTGAAAAGCTTGCCAACTACTTTGATAAGTCACAGCCAGGGTGGGAGAGGAACAAGGGGCACAGAAAGGGGAAGGAACTTGCCCAAGGTTTCAAGCAGAAGGGACGAGAGCCCAGGCCACCTGAGCTCCAACCCAGGACCCGGTTCACCTGTCACAGTAATAACGGTCACAGATATACACACGGGTCCTTCCATCCCAAAGGATCCTATAAGGTACTTTGCAGACTCAATTACAACGTATACTGGAATCACTTCAGCCACGAGAGAAGAGCAAATGCCTCTTGGGTGGAACGCCGCAGGTACTTAAGAGCACACTGCAGCAACAGACAGAGGACTGACCCTTGGGGAACACCACTAGTTACCCCTCTCCATTCTGAGAATTTACCATTAATTCCTACCCTTTGTTCCCTGTCTTTTAACCAGTTCTCAATCCATGAAAGGACCTTCCCTTTTATCCCATGGCAGCTTAATTTACATAAGAGCCTCCCCCCCCCGAAGCCCCGCCCTCGCACCGCCTCTTCCCCCAACATAAGGTGCCCCGATCTTTCGCCCGCAAGGCTTCCCACCAGGCCAGCCGTGGTAGCACCAGCAAAAGATTTATTGCCATTTGCATTGTGGCAGCATCGAGATGCCTCAGGGTCCCCCGTTGCCCCAGGTGCTATAAATACATCCCTGCCTCCAAGACCGCACCATCTAAATAAACAAGACAATAATCCTTCCTTTATCTCCGTTTTGCAGATAGAGAAACTGAGGTCATGGACACACAAGGAGTCTAGGTAGAGCCAGGAATCGAACCCAGATTCCTTCAGTTGACCTCTAGTACCTTAGTTACAAGACCATCTTAGTCTCTTGAATGTGCCAACAATTCGTCATGAGCAGCTTCAGTAAGGGAGAGCCAGTTACAGTTGGCTTCATAAATAATGGGTTCACTATTTCTCTATTTTCCTTTCAGAAACCCACGATGTCCACCCTGAAGCTCCCCGGCTAGGAATCTGCCTTGGGACGCACCGCTGCCCCTTTTAAACCTGGCTGCCCCAGCCCAGAATGGCTTTATGCCTCAGCCAAGTTTTCAACAAAGACAAAACCTTTCGCCCCCGTAAGAAATTCGAGCCCGGCACCCAGCGGTTTGAGCTGTACAAGAAAGCCCAGGCCTCTCTCAAATCTGGGCTGGATCTGAAGACTGTGGTCCAGTTGCCACCTGGGGAGAATATCAATGACTGGATAGCGGTGCACGTGGTTGACTTCTTCAACAGGATAAACCTTATCTATGGGACGATGTCGGAGTTCTGCACCGAGAAGAGCTGCCCCATCATGTCCGGTGGGCTCAAATACGAATATAGGTGGCAGGATGATCATAAGTACAAGAGGCCGACCAAGCTATCGGCACCCCAGTACATGTGTATGCTGATGGAATGGATCGAGATGCTCATTAACAATGAAGACATCTTTCCTACCAGGATCGGTAAGTGGGCTGTAGTTCTTACATTCAGATAACAACTATTGTGATCATCTCGTCTGGCCTCCTGCATAACACAGGCCATAGAACTTCACCCAGGGGTTCCCACATCCAGCCCTGATGGCTTGTGGTTACTCATAGACTTTAAGGCCAGAAGGGACCATCATGATCATCTAGTCTGACCTCCTGCACATCACAGGCCACAGAACCTCACCCGCCCACTCCTGTAGTAGACCCCTAGCCTCTGGTTGAATTACTGACCTCCTCAAATCATGATTTAAAGACTTCAAGCTACAGAGAATCCACCATTTACACTAGTTTAAACCTGCAAGTGACCCATGCCCCATGCCGCAGAGAAAGGCGAACCCTCCCCCCCCCCCCGAGTCTCTGCCAATCAGACCTGGGAGCAAATTCCTTCCTGGTCCCAAATTTGGCGATCAGTTAGACCCTGAGCATGTGGGCAAGACCCACCAGTGAGATACCTGGGAAAGAATTCTCCCCATCTCGTGTCCCATCGTTGGCCATTGGAGATATCGGCTGCTAGCAGTCACAGATCGGCTACATGCCCTTGTAGGCAACCTCATCATACCATCCCCTCCATAAACGTATCAAGCTCAGTCTTGAATCGCAGTAAATCTTTTAGCTAATTGTCCTGTCGTGATGTAAAGACTCCAAGGGATGGAGAATCCAGCACATCACCAGTAACATGTTTCCATGGATAATTACTTTCTCTGTTAAAGAAGTTTTCCATCTTCTTTTTCACATTCATTGGAAAGGCAAAGGAAAATATGCCAGCTCTATCCTGCCACCAGCTTAATGAAGTGACACTATGAACTCAGTGTGTTGAATCCTTTCCCCCTACATTTGGGGCTTTGTGGACGTGGGGCACTCCTAGCACTCGTTAGAGCCAGGCAGGGTGTGTGGAGTGGTGCTACTCAAGCATCCTGTACATAGCTGTGGCAATGCACTCCACCCCGACCTATGACATGCCTTGCTATTCCACTCCTAGGCTACCTGTGGCCTACAAGGACATGTGGCTTTTTCAATGAGGACAGATCTCCACCAGGAGAATAGGAGGTGGCCCACCACAAACAGTTGTTCTTATAACCTAACCCAGTTTCCAGAGGGAAAAAGTTTGTGAACTAACCCTCTTTATTGCCCATCCTGCAGATTTAATCCTCATTACCCCTGTGGGTAACTATGGTGATAACATCACACATGCTAATCAGGTTCATCTGCCTTCTTTGGGGAGATCAGGGATTGGAGTGTACTGGGATCGCTGATCGGTGTTGGCGATTCATTATTCGGTCTGATGGACACATACCAGCAATCCTGTTTCCATACAGATGGCTCTTGCTGTTTTCAGCGTCTTCATGGAGCACCCGGATTCCATAAATAAACTTCCCCCTAGATAGCAGTCGGTCCTCTCCGTGGTTCAGTTGTATTGAACCCAGCTGCCAAGCCCACATGGCGCTCTTGGAAGCGGTTCCTTTTCCGATGAAGTGAGCAACGCTTGTGTGATTTTTAATTTTTCCTCCTCCTCCAAAGGGAAGCTTTAAGAATCTTAAAACGTAGTGATCATCCTTCCAGTGAAACACAGCCCTTGGCGCGTCTTCCTCGCGATTACTGCTTTCCAGAGGGGCATGGGCTTGTGAATCTGAATCCAGTCATTGCAGTTGAGGGTTCCTATTTTAGTTACCCTGGTGGGAAAGCCGTAGGAATCTGGGATGGAAAAGACCAGTGCAGGATTATTGAGCGAAATCCTCAACTGGTGTTGAGTGGCATGGCTCCAGTGACGTCCTCATATTCTCCAGTCCAGTTCCTGATGACTTAACTGATGGGGCTTCCATTTCTTCCCTTGGGAGACTGTTCCACACTTTAGGGGCACGACCGGCAGACACTTAAATTGATGGAGCCTGTCTCGGTAACTTACCGCAATGCACACTAATGCAAGGCGGTGCATCCAGACTCCATGCATATGTGTGGACAGTGGCTGTGCCTCTCAGCTGGCCTTGCACTCCATTGTGTTGGTCACTTTGGTTTCTGAGCATGCATCCGATGAGTCCCAGTCATTATGGGAGCCTGAATTAAGGAAGAAATCTAATTTTTGCTCCCACTTAGTGGCAGTATTAGAGTGTCATTGATCCTGATAGGCATCAATCTATAACGAGCCCTGTCTTCAACATCTCCTTACTCGCAGAGCCTGCCCTTTCCTGCAGGCGTGCGGCCTCTGGGTTTAGAAGCTGTAGATCTGATATCTTGAAATTAGAAGTGGAAACAGCCGAGCGAAGAATGGAAATTGTCTTGGAGCAAAAAGATCAAATCAAAGCTGTTAGGTGCGAGTGTTTTGGCCAAAGCCTGCTGAAGAAACCATCATTCCCAGCCTCATCCCATAAATATCTTCCCAAGGGGAGGGAACCCAAAGTGAACCCAAACCCAACAGGCAAAGCAAGACCTTGGCAGGCCTGAGCCCACGCTGGCATGAAGGCTGTGGACAAAGACTATGTTCCCATGGGCTGGAAGTGAAGTACCATGACCGAGAACGCCTCTGCCAAGGTTCCTGCAGGAGATATGGGAGGGCTCCTGGAAAGCAGCCACTGGCATCACTGGATACAGACCCTCGCCACGTGGCAAAGCTGCTGTTAACCAAAGCTGTAATGCCACCCTGTGTGAGCTTGCAGCGGGTGAGGTCAGGCCTTCCAGAAGCCGGGGTTTACAGTTCAGCTCTGAAATTGTCAGGAATTAGGGCTTGCAGCTGAGCCTGGGACCAGCAACCTCCACCTCCCTAGTGAACAATGTAGGGCTGGTAGCTGAAGCATAGTTGGCTTGCAGCTCAATCATCTGACTTGGCCAGACCGCCTGATTGGCTGGAGGAACCAACAGGCATGGGTGGAGCATGAAACCTCCTCAGGGAGGCTAGTCACCTGGCTTCGCTTCTTCCACCCGAGGCCCCACCCCCAACGCCCCACTGTGGCCCAGGACGAGTCCCAGCCGAAGTGCCCCGAGCACTGGCCGGCCCAACCCCCGGGCCGCCAGCTAGGGTTGCCAACTGTCTAATCACACAAACCAAACACCCTTGCCCCGCCCCTTCCCCGAGGCCCCGCCCCACTCACTCTATTTCCCCCCTCCCTCCATCACTCCTTGTCTCCCACCCTCACTCACTTTCACCAGGCTGGGGCAGGGGGTTGGGGTGCGGGAGGGAGTGTGGGGTGCAAGCTCTGGGAGGGAGTTAGGGTGTGGGAGGAGGTGAGGGGTGCAGGGGCCAGCCAGGCAGGGGTTACCTTGGGTGACTCCTGGTCAGCGGCGCAGTGGGGCTAAGGCAGGCTCCCTGCCTGCCCTGACCCCGCACTGCTCCCGGAAGTGGCCAGCACATCCCTGCCACGTGCGCTCCCCAAATGCTGACTCCGCAGCTCCCATTGGCTGGGAACTGCAGCCAATGGGAGCTGTGGGGGCGGAGCCGGCCTTAGCCCCACTGTACCGCTGACCGAGGAGCCACCCGAGGTTAGCGGGGCTAGGGGGCTCCGCGCACTGCTCCCGGAAGCAGCCAGCATGTCCCTGAGGTCCCTGGGAGGGGGGGCCACAGGGCTCTGTGCACTGCCCCTGCCTGCAGGCACTGCATAGACCCCCTGCCCTCCCCTGCAGGGATGTCCCACAAGTAGCACAGGGCCAGGGCAGGCAGGGAGCCTGCCTTAGCCCCGCTGCACCGCCGGTGTTAGTGGCGTAAAATCTCCTGGTTTGGCTGCAGTAGCCTCTGGGAGATAGGGCCTGATTCCGGGAGACTCCTGGAGAAACCAGGAGGGTTGGCAACCCTACTGCCAGCGAGGCCATCAGTTGGCCTGAGTAGCAGCACGACCCCCAAGTCATCCCAGAACCACTCTGTACTGGGCCGTTCCTGGGTTTTTTCAGTGGTCCAGTTGCCAGCTATTTTCCACCCGCACCACTGTGTCCTAGTCAGTGCCATAGAAGCACCTGCCGTTCTGCAGAAACCCGCTGGGGTTCAGAGAGTTATTGACAGACCTCCAGGAACAGGCAGAATGTTCTCACGTTCAGAACCCCGCTCCGGAGTCTCACAGACAGACATGGAACTGGCTGTGGTGGTTTGTGGACGTTCTTTCTGGTTGAGAGTAAGAGACTATGGATCTGAATCCACTGAGCCCTGCGAGGTGGATCTACACTGCACTTAAACAACCCCTTAGCTCAAGCCTGAGTCAGTTGGCACGGGCCAGTCGCAGGTGTCTAATTGCAGAGTAGACACTCGCTGAAAGGCTGGAGCCTTCCACAGTCACACGCCATTGTCAATACTTCCCCAGTTAATTACTCTGACAAGCTGAGGTTAATTACTTTGTAGCTTTGGCATTTCAGAAGATGGAGCTGCCTGGGCGAAAGGGAAATGCCACGTTTATTTGTTTCTGATGAGGGCGCTTTCCTTCTATGAACTCAACAATAGAACGAGTTTGGGTGAGAAGGACAAGGCCGGGGCCGTGGAGCCACTCGGGGGGAATGAAAGCACATAAACAAAAGAAGGTGCTTGATGTGTTCTACAAAGAACCAGACCTTGTAGGGCTGAGGGATACACTGGGAATGGATCAAGGTGGTGTGGAGGGAAGGCTGAGACTACAGCTTGTCAAAAAATGGGGCGGGGGGAATCTGCAGAATTCAGAGATGTTAAAGCCAGGAGGGACAATTATCATCTAGCCTGACCTCCTCTATCACACAGGCCATAAAATCTGCAAAAACGTCTGCATCAAGCCCATCACTTCTGTTGGAGCATATCAGGGCCAGGGGATTGGCTTTAGGGTTAGCATTAGGAGCGGGCCGAGGGTCCAGGAGCCAACTACCAGAAATCAGGCCTGGTTGGAACACCAGGGGATCAGATCTGAGAGACAAGCCAGAGGGCAGGGATCATGAGTCAGTTACCAAGCCTCCAGACACCAGGAGGTCAGGATCAGAAGGCAGGACCAGGCAAACACCAGGCCAGTGGTCCATGGCAAAGTGAAGCCCAATTG